CAGGAACTGGGGCTTAACCTCCCTCGTCTGCTGCGGAGGTCGATCAAAGTAGAAAAAGGAGGAGATTTCCAGACAGTGGGAGTCCAAGCGACACCGAGCCATTTTCGGGGTGGCTGTATCTAGGCAGGGTCAGCTCGTTTGAAGGCTCCCAAGTGCTGCTTGCGCTCTTTGTTCCACAGGCTGCAGCAGCCTCCTCCACCATGGAGTGAACAAAGACAGACAGGCTTGAATAGAAAGTAGGTCATATCTGCGAGGATCAGTCTGTTACCCCCAGTCGCCCCGCCGTGGGGACCACTGTGTGAGCGAGAGCGTGTGTGCGAGTGTGAGTGCCATGTGCGATGCGCCATGTGAAGGAAAGGAAAGTGAGAATGGAAGCACACTGACACAGTTTACAGCCTCAGAGCCCCACATGCAGGATGGCTAAATGGTCTGGGGGTCGGACTTGACATACCTCAAAAGCCGCTATCAAGGCGAGAAAAGGGTTGTTTTCTGTGTTGCTGCCTGCCTTCAGCAACCTTTTTTGAATTAATTTCACGCTTGTCAAATCACACGGGCCAAAATAAACACATTTCACTCTCAGCCATTTACATTTGCATGGGCAGCTCTTTGGGGTGTTTTTTGTCAGGCTACAGTTAGCGCTGGAAGGGCGGATAAGAAACAGACAGCAGACAGGATTCAGCCAAAACTCCCTGTGAAGCTGAGCGCTGTCTGTGGTCGCCGGGGCAGGTGGAACCCACTCCCTTGCTCTTTGTGCCTTTGTGGTGTTGTGTCAGTTTGTTCTGTTTGGCCTGTTGCCAGCCAAGTGAATGACCCTGCAGAAAACCCAATTCTTTCAACTCCCCTACTTCCACTGCTTCCTGTCATTGCAGACAGACCGGGCCTGCAAGAGAGACAGAACAGAGAGAGGGTCATTTTGTGACAATGCTGTATTGTAGAAATAGATTTTAGAGACTTAGTGCTCACCAGAGCCTTGCTGATTTTTGAGTGAAAATCTGATTTATCGATTTGACTTTTGTCTTTTTTAACATAGATTTATAAACAAAAAAATAAGGACAGTCACTAACGGTGGTGTCTAAATGTCTAAGTTAGCCTCAGGCCTGTCCTGTCCCTCCGTGTCTTCATCGTGCACAGAATCACAGTCCTGGTTGGACCCACTTTGAATCACCACTGTACTGAATTCCCTGTAGTTAAATTGTATGAAATAAACCACTAATTCACCCAGTTAGATATGAAAATATTCTGGCTTTACAGCTGTTTTTCCTTCCCCTCGTTGGGCTCAGAGTGTGTACTCTACTGCTGTCTGTCCGAGCATTTAGACAGACTAAGGCATAAACAGTATCTGTAGTATTTCTCATAATTCAAAGTAAGGTAGTTGTTGAAGTAGCCGAGGAACTTACAAGAGGTAGATTAAAATTGTCAAAATCAGTGCAGCAGAGGTAGAAGGATGCTGGTGTTGTAGTCAGACCCATACAAAAGGAAAATAAAACATTTCCCATAATGCCACTCGATAGTATCTTTCGTTAGACCCCCCCTTTTAAGGGGATGAGCTCCTTTTCACAAGTGAACCAAACTTTATGTGTGAAATCGGGCCCATGAATCTAGATAAAATAAAGGCGCTGTTTCAGGTTTCTCTAACGCTTACTCGCCATTTTCCTGTTATTCATCCACCAAAACAGTTCACCTCCACAACCATAGATCCTTCTCTCCTTCACACGTCCACTCTGTGAAAGAGAGAAGGAGCTGCGGGATGAATGGACGGATGGCTAGATGGATGGCTGTGTTAGAGGGATTTGTCTCCGACATGCCTGCGATCGAGTGCCAGCTGGCCACCTCTAATTGATTAGATTTGATCTCCGGGTGACGATTAACGCCTCTGTGTCTCTCAATGCTTTCCATATGTAATTTGCTTATCTCTGGGGCTCTGGCAGCGGCAGAGCGCAACGGTCCACTCCCCACCTCCTCAGCTCCGCAAGGGGCTGCTGGGGTTTGTGGTCACACAGCCGCCCTCCTGAATCCTATTTCAGAATCCTATTTAGCCCCCCCCCCCTCTAAAAGCACAGCTCCTATGCTCTTAAGGGATTGGCAAAATAAACCTCTTTTCCTCACTTGTCAAAAACCTGGTGGTGGGATAGAGTGTTTATTTTCTTAAAAGAATGTGGCAAACCCTATGATTTAGAAGCCCTGTTTTTCACATAAACATATTGGGGTTCTATATGGCTATTCAGATTTGAAGTCAGTGCTGCTTTGCCTATTTTAAAACTCAACAGAAAAACATGACCACACAGATTCTCAAGAAAGTTATTTTGAGTTGGATTATTTTGGAATACTTTTACTCATATCGTCTTAGAAATAGGACATGTCCTTTTGATGGGAAACTCCTTTTTCTTTCCAAAGCGCAGCGGCTTAATGAGCGGATGCAGGCCACTCTGCGGGATTGTGTGAGAGGCCAGATTGTTGTTTTCTCTCTCTGAGATGTGTCACCGAGGGGAAGATGTGGTGGCCCTGGATGTGTTTGTGTCTGTGGCTTTGCACTGTGGAGCCAGCGGGCTGCCCTGCGCTCACTCACTGTCTGATTAGAAAGACCTTGAGAGGCCCCGCACCCTTGCCTTTATACCGTTCCACACAATCACACTCCAAACAAGTTATCAGGCCCTGGACGGGCACTCTTTCTTTCACAATTCACACACATTTGGCTGTTAAGTTACTCCACGCAGTCTGTAACATGCAGTGGTTCATGTTAATAATAAAACCAGTAATTCCCAGAGATTACAAGCTGGATCAGTCACTCTAAAATAAGGCGTATTCCAGTATGACATGTCTTGTTTCGCAGAAATCTCCTTAAAGGTGTGCTTTAAGGATGCCTATAGCCACAATGACATTACTGGCTTGTAAATGTATCCGGATGGATTCTCAAAGGGTTTAAAAACAAAAGGAAACAGCTGAGTGGAGGCCAGAGTCTGTCTGCCTTCAGCCTGCTGTGTGGTCTCCTTGCTAGCTGGCGGTGCCTGAAGGAGGAGGAGGAGGAGGGAGGAGGGGGAGGGAGGGGGTTGTGGGCGTAGTTAAACAGGGACAAAGTGCGAGGGCCCTGGGCCCTGACAGAACCGCTCTAGCCCCTGTGGGATGGCAGAGACCCGGGGACAGGAGGCCAGACAGATATGTTTTCATGTTTGGGTGAATGTGGAGATTAGTTGTACGCTGTCAGCCGTAAATGGCTGCCATGGAGAGATGAATGACTTGAAAGAACAACATTACAAGGCCACCATTAAAGATGGAGGAGAGCATTAAAACTGGATGTCATGAATGTCTGAGCCTCGCTTCAGATGCACTTGAATGTACATGGATTGTTTCTTTCAACATGCGCACATGTGCTACTTGGATTGGCTCCGCCAAATTGTTTGCTGACTTGTGCAACAGAGCAAAGGCTGAGAATGTGTATCAGGGGTTTAGCGGTGTATTGAAATAGACTGCTATGTGGAGGTGGTTGGGACTCCTAAGTGCACGTTGAAAATGCATTCAGTCCTAGAAAGGTTTGATCAATTTACTGCTGCTGTTTTGGTGCAGTGAATTGTATCATTATTGTCCAATGACGTGAGTCTTCTCCCACGTGAAGCAGAATGTGTGTATTGTTCATATAAAGAACAGCGTGGTGACTGATGAGAGCCTTTCTCCCGCACTTGAGGGTCCTGGGAAGCTCTTCAGTTTACTGTACAGAAAAGACCTGTTCCCAAACATCCCAGCGCCGCAATAACCTGCTAATTACACGTTGTGCTAAAAGGATTCTTTGCCTGCGGTGTCTAAAATTTGCTGCAGTGCTCTCTTTACAGCCAATTTCCAAATAAGCTGAAATCTTTTGAAGTAAGTACAAGGAAGTGCGTGCTCTTATTGCATAATGATCTCGTAAAAGCCACCAAATTTGAGTGCAAGCAGTGCTGTAAAGTGTAGCCATCTCCTGTCTGTTGCGCCGCGTAATCTGGAGCTCTGCCGAGAGTCTTGCTCCTGGACCGGCTGAAAAAGGAGGCCCCTGCTTGTTTTCCAGTGCATACTTGACATTCCTGCCTCAGTGCCCAC